TTCCGCTTCCTATTAGAATTCTGCAGGGTCGTCAGGGTCCAGTAAACATGAATATCATTTGATTTTTATGTGGGAAAGTTGGATGGTTCTCACCAATCCCAACCTGAAAATTTAATTCAATATGAATGCCCTTAAAACTTAGTCTAAGGTGCAGAAACAAACTGCTTAGTGCACCTCTGACTGTTTGTGTCTCACTAAATTGCTCATATGCAATGCACTGTACTCTAAGTGTTTAAAGACATAAAATGTGAAACTACACGCTGTATTTAATTTATATTGCCAGCATTATTTACTTTGTTACTGAAATACTAGAACAATTAGCACTGGGTTTTTTTGACAACATGGCTTCAAGATTCAGAGTTGGTCTCTCCAAAACTCTGTTATTCTTCCAGTCAGAAGAAACATTTTGGGGAAAATTAATAAATTACTTCAGCCTAATTCTTCCACTGAAATGAATAATTTTGAGATTATTTGTAAATAAGTTCCAACAAGCCCTCTGCTTTAGTTTAAAATAGTAGTTCAGCAACTACTACATATGGATATCAACATTCATATCCTTTTGATACAAATATTGTTAGTAAAATCTCTGGTTACCACGAAATGGAATCCAATTAACCACCACAGGAAGTTGTTTCACTTTTTGAGAATCCCGGTGCGTGGATGAGGTTTCTTTCAGGTCCTGTGTCACGTCTTAGCCTCATTTTTATATTCTAACTTCATAAAGCTGTGACTTTCAGGAACTACTTGCGTTCTGTAAATGTATTTTTACGGAAATGTATTTTTGTTTATCTACTTTTACTTTTTTGTTTGTTCTTCACTTGCCTTCTTTTGTACTTTCAAGGAAAAAAAGATCTGCATAATAGAAATGCATCACTGGGGACTGTTTAGAAAAAAATTGAGTGGAAAAAGCAGGAAAGATCTACTGAAAATTATGGACGGCTTTCAGAAAATCAGAACCAGTGACGCAGGCCGCTCTAAAAGATTACATAAAAGTCTTACTCGTTGGAAGCAAAGAAAAAAAAAAGTAATCAGCGATGGTTTAAACGTTTTGCACAGTATTGCAGTTTTATTGGTTTTGCGTGAAGCCATTTGTGATGGCTCTCTTTCAAAAAAGTGATCGTATGTACATTGACTTCCTGGCTGACTAAATGTTTTCATGTCACTGTTCTGCTTTTGCCTGCTTTCGGGTTTTTCCCTAAAAAAGGAATTAGACCTACAGAGTGTGAACTTCCTGCAGTCTGTTTACGGTGGTGAGTCCATACAAAAACTTCGAAATATAAGATGCTAATTTGCATTGTCTGATGTTGATGTCTCTTGTGTGATTTTGAGGAAATGAGTTGTTTCTACTTCCCGAAGTCATCTGAAAACAAAAGATAAACTACATTTTCTTTAAACCAGCTGTCAAGATACAAGAAATATCTCCCCCTGTGTGCAGTCGTACCTGCCCTGCCTGCTTTAACTTCATATGTCGAGACATCTAAGATAATATATCTGTCACAGCTGTTATTGAATCTGTTTACCAAAATAAAATTCTAGTTTTATAATAAACACCAGTGTAAAATGGAGTCAAGGCTTTCACAAGATTGATTCTCATCCAACTGGAAATAAATAGTTTATAAATCTCTGTGAAGGGATTCACTCTTTAGGCAGCATCAGAGGTTAAAAATTAATTTGAAAAAATGATTTAAAATACTTTTCATGTTCACAGTCCTTTACTCTCGTCCTCTCTGATGTGTTGCCAGCTTTAGTTTGTTGTGTCGTTTTCTGTTATTTCTGCTGTGAGCAAGGGAATCGTGGCATGAATTGAGATTTAGTGCTAAATTTGAATTCGAGCATTTGTGTGTTTGTTTTTTTTTAATGTCTAGTACTCATAGTGATTCGTGGAATATCTCAACTTAACAGGAGGTTAAGGTTTACTCTGGCACATAGACGTAAGAACTGTTTAATTGCATTTGATTTATGAACTATAATGATCTCCATATTAAAAATAAGTTCTACTTTGGACAATTGCTGAGCTCTGGCGAACAACCCTCCTTTAAAATCACACTTTGAATTTGAACTTTGTGTGCTCATTACCCTCTTCATGACTCACACCACTTGTGGAGGGTGAACCATTAAGGTTAACTTCTCAAAAAGCTAACTCTTCAAAGAGCTGCTTCAATCATTTTAATGCAAAATTAAGTGGAAGGAAAAATGCAAAAGTAGTGGGTTTAAATGTCAGCAAAGCCCATTGACTGATTTAAAAGAAATTTCCAGATCTGGAGCCAGTATATAAATAGCCACCACACACAGATACATGTCAGAGATGGACTAAAACTGCTACACTGCTTGTGTTAAATCGCTCTCAGAAACATCTTACTGGTACTATGAAAACAAATAAATAAAAAAAATTGTAGATAAAAAACTGTGGCTGAGTCGTTCAAAATTTTGATTTCAGCTGAAGGTCAAGTTTGTATTTCATTTGGAAATCAAGGTTGCAATGTCAGGATGAAGAGCAGTGAGGCACAGAATCCATGAAAAAAATAAATAAAATAAAATATCAAGAAGTCCACAGAGAATTGACTGAAGAAAAATGACTCTGGACCCAATAGTGAGGACGAGCCGAAGGCCAGTATTAAACAAACCTGGGCGATTGACAGCGCTAAGACTCCCCTCCTGGCTCTGATTGGTTGTTTCTGACCAAGTTGTGCATTTCTGCAGACAGCAAGTAGGACCACAGTAGAGGAACTCCGTTTTTCACTGATTATCTCACTCATTTAATACTGCTGTAACCTAGCGACAGCCTCAGCAAATATGTAAAATAAAAACATTTTTTAAGCTTTAACTGAGGACACTGTAGCTGGTGATTATTAAAATCAAAAATAAGACTTGGTTAATCATTGTGCACACAATGTAATTGCAGCTAAAGTGGTTCTTTACTCAGGGGAGCTACATACAAATGCATGCCACACTTTTTTTTTTTATATATTTATCATCCACTTCACAATTATACACTGCTGATTGGAGGCTTCTGATGAAAAATACCATTAAGATACAGCTTGTGGTGGCAATTCAACATCCTGTTCAAGAGATATCAAAATGCTTGCAAGATTTTCTCAGACTAAATAAAATACTAAATGCTGGATATTTCTGACTTTTTGCAAGTTATTCCGAGTTTTTTTTTTTTTTACAGATCTTTACTGGCCATGACAGTGAATGTGGGCGGCTTTGTATTTCCAAGCAAGTGCAGAAACTCGCATAAGAAAGTGAGGCAGCAAAGATCCAACTAATGAAAAATACAGTGGTGTTTTATTTGCAAATTAAAAAGCACCGACAATATTAGTTACACTGTAAAAATTATTGACAACAATTACAAATCTGTATCATACAGTCCAGGAGATTAGTACCATCGTTGCTGTTATGCGTTTAATACTTTATATACGGAGAAACTCTGCACTTTTGTACAACAGTTGGCAGTGAGAGGACGTGAGAGGAAACACTTCTGCATGATGAAAGGATCCAAACTCCCCCTCAGCGCAGCACTGACGTTTTTAAACGCTACGACAAACAGGCTGATGGGAGAGCAAAACCCAAACACATTCAATAATTTAGGTCTACCGAAGGGTTTTTATGTACATTACAAAGTCAGGAAGTGACAAACCGTCATGTGCGTTGTAATTACATCCGAACAACGTACAAAACTATTGCAGTAAAAGCAGCTTTTTGTTACCGATGAACACCTAGTTGCAATGGTAACACCTTGACCTACACCCAAACATCCGTATTAAAACACCTGGCGTACAGTTGGTCTGTCGTTTTTTTGTTTTGTTTTGTTTTTTTTTTCTCTATTCTTCCCAGGTCTATACTCTCTTGTAAATGAAATTAAAACATAAAACACAAAAAAAATATACAATTTTAACAAATAAAAACGCTAATAACATCTTGAAATGCACTTTTTTTTTCTTCTGTACACAATCTGAATCTGTAGGACCATGCATACAGTAGCTAGCTTATGATCTTCTTCACAGATTGTAGTAGGAGCCATGAAACTCTGTGTGCTTTCCAGTTAACCTTTATGATCAGGGTCGACGCTCGTTCGAGTGCCGTTGTGCTTTCCGCGTCCGTCCGTCCGTCCGTCCGTCCTGTTCGCGCCCCGACCGGCTCGGGGCGTCACGACGCTGCAGGCCGGGCCGACAACAGCGCTGCTCATCCCGCTTGGGCGAGAACGACAACCTCTAACAGGTTTAGTTTTGGTACATTCTAACAAAATATGCATTTCCATCAGCACTACAGAAATGTTAAGTCAGACAGAAGAAAACAAAACAAGAGCTGATTGAAACAAAAGAGAAAAAAAAAAGAAAAAAAAAAGAAGGAAGATTCCCTCAGATATCCAAGGGGTTGATAGTTTGTTGAAGATTCTGTCCTGGCACTTGTAAATGCAATAACTAGATTCTACCAAGGCCTACTGAGGAAGGCTACAAGATGCAGCCCCGAGTCAGGACTCCTCATGTCCTCACTTACTGCTCATATAACTCCTATCAAAAGTAGTTTGACTGGACACGTCCGACATGCTGCCGTTTGCTGAGACAATACTGTCCTACTCCGCTGTCCAAACATCACGCCTTATCGCAGAGGACACGTGATAGTGTTTACATTTGTTGCCCATTTATAGAACTGACAGGAAAAACTGCTCAGAGTTCATTTGTGTTTCTTTCTCTTTTTTTTTTTTTTTCAGTCTCAGGCAACAAAGTTTATGCGATGACCACTTCGATCGACGGGACCGGGATTATCGAACACCGGAGGAATCCCCTCCCCTCCCCCCCCACACTCCCCTGTGCACCACCGAGTCTTTCCTTACTGAAATCCTCAGGACACAGTTTCAGGGCAGCCCTGAAGCCAGTCTGCTCTCCGCCAAGAAGATCAGAGTTAAGCTTCGAGTGCTTGTTCGGTACATCTCAAGGCCCGAGCTCCAGCCTTTCGGGTCTCTGTCAGATCGGCGAGCCCTGCAGGGTGGAGCCGTGTTTCGGAACGTGGAGCTGTGGTTTTCCCCTGCGGCGGTGCTGCTACCTGGTGTGGACCAGCTCCTCTCTCAGCCAGCTGGGCAGCGGCTGACCCATCCTGTAGAGCAGCTTAGACAGCTCAATGTTGTGGTCTCGATAGTACTCCCTGAGGAACTCCTGTGACTGAAAGAAACAGGAGGAGACTAAATGTAGGCGACTCACAGCAAGCTGACCTGTTGCTACAACAGCTCTTTCTGGGAGAGAAAGATCCTACCTCGGGGTCCATGTCAGGGTACCTGCGTCCTTTACTCTTTCCCAGACACTTGGTCTTTCCTCCCTCCAGCAGCTGACACCAGAAGCCTTTCTTGGGGTCAAATCTACACATGATGGACACGGAAAATCCTGAACGTCAAAATCCGACCTCACGTTTGAGGTACGACATGCATGTCTCAGGTTTCGAACAAATCAAATCAAAAAGGAGCATCAAACTCAAATTAAGAGCATCTCAGGCTGATTCCTGTTTGTTGTAAAACGTTTGATCGGGTTACCCAGTTGATACATTTTGATACAGTTGTGTCACATTATATTGCAATACTCAATAAAGATAAAAGTAAAATCGAATGCACAATTACAGAAACTACTGCAGAACAAAGTTAAACATAGATGCAGATTTTTTTTTTTTGGGTTTTGTTTTCTACTCAATGAAAACATTTGAAATGACATAAATGAAACTGAGGGTTTGAACTGAGGAAGATAAAGCAGGTTTTCCACTCCACATGTCCGACTGCTCTTCAATACAAGCCGAACATCACAATTTGCTCTTTTTGCCCAATCAGAGTCAGTGGGCGCAAGATAAAAAACATAAAATAAAAATAAAGAGTTAATGAGGCTTTCGCTGTGAAGGTCATTTTGTGCCTAATAAAATCAGAAACAGTTACCCTTATAAATAGGTTGTAGGTTTAAGTGATTTAGATGAATGCTACACACTCAAGACTCAAACGCTTTTACAGAAAACCATTCTGATCGGATCAAATGATCAGGCTGACAAACATTCTTCAATGTGGACGCTGTTACCAAGTAAAGAAGTTAGATATGTCGAGTGTATGCGAGATGTTAACTTAGGAAGCATAAAGCTGTAGGAAGTTTTTCTTTATAAAGGAGATAAGGACGTTCTTGTCACATTTTAAGACATCTGTGGTTTTATTGGGCTGTGAGAGAGAGCAGAACAACATCATCAGTTTAAACCTTTTAAGATTTAAGGCTCTTTTCAGTTTAAAAAACACACTATGAGGAAGCAGACTAGGTTGTAATCTTGGCATTTGAAAAGAAAAGGATCTGAAGTGAAAGAGGGGAAACTTACGCCAAGATCTTGTGGTAGTTGATGACGTTGGGGAGGCCGAGAAACTTCTGGATTTTATCCATGACCGAGGCGGGCTCCGTCTTCAGCATCTGTCCATCCAAAACCAACAACTGGAAGAAGACAGGAAGCCAGGCATTAGAAGAGGGACAGCTGTGCATACAACAGTGCAACATAAGAAAATAAGTTACGCCGACACGGTCTTCCTTTGTTTTCTTTCCTTTTTTTTAAAACTACTTTTCCATAATTAAATTCAGACCAATTCCCCTAAAGCACTCAAGTCAGAAGCAATCCTTAAATGGGGGTGTCAACAATTAATGAGAGAGAGCAACATGTAGTAAATGTAGGCGAGATATTAACTCTCGGACGAAATACAGTAACTGTAAGTTCGTCTATAAATAGTTTTAGAGTCTTGCTTGCAGAACCAGCTCATTAGGTAGCTAAACCGCAGTCCTAAGGTCTTCACATCCATCTTTGTTGAACTGTGGAAACTGCTGACAGAAATCCCCTGGAATTTGTGCAAGCCCTGGTAAATGAATCAATAAAACCCATTGGGGAGTAAAATAACAAGTAGTCAATACTTCCCACCATTGCATTATTGATTATTTCTGTGGTATAGGTCTTGAAATATAAATCACTGATTCACAAATTTATTTGAGGAGTCTGTCCTCCAGATGTTCAATGGCTGACTGTCCTGGTTTTAAAATTTTAATTGCTAATTTCTTGCCAAGAAATACTATTAAAAAAAAAACATGGATTTTCCAAAATTGTCTATGACTTCTCTGCCTTCAATTGCTCTCTCTCTCCACTGGGGTGTTTTTTTTTTTTTTTTTTTTTGCACACTTCTGTGAGAGAGGGAAAAACAGAAACCCCCAAAAAGCTTCTAAAACCACCAGTGTGTTTGAAGATGGACACATCCTGCCAGTATAAAGACTTCGACCCGGTGCACATGTTGTGGACGGCTTAGCTTTGAAAGCAGAAATCAGGCTGCATGAACCGAGAACTTAACTTGGTTCATTTAACTTAAAGAGAACACGGTATTACTAAGAATCTTTCTTCGTAACGCTGAACCCACAGCTTATCACCGCTTGCTCGTACAGCTTGTGAATCTAGACACACTGGAGCGCGAAAGGTTAAATTTTCCTCTGCGAGTGTTCGTAAAGGTCAGCTCTCATCCACGGAGGTCGGCTGGATTTAGAATACTCTCTTCAAGGAATGCAAAGGCGAGAATAATCCCCCTCACCGCCAACTCCCTGCAGGGAATCTCAAGAAAGACTTCAGTAACTAAGGAAACTCGTCGTCTTGTGCTTGCTCGCTGATTACACACTGATCGCCACTTTGTACGTGGAAAACAAACTACCTGGCTGGAATGATAGTGATTCAGCCAGCGCTCCAGGTGGACAGCGTACCAACCCGGCACCAGGCACCGATTCTGGAGAACCCGTAGTTTGATTGAAGCGTCGCGGGCTGCAGTGATGACTTCGTTGAAGGAGTACTTCAGCGCCACTGGGTCGTCATGAGCTCTTTGGTGCTGTGGGAGAGCGATTTGGGTTTCAGTAAGGAAAAAAAAAAAATAAAAATTCTGAAAGATGAAGTGATGGGCTGCAGGTGTGAGGACCAAGACAGACCTGGTACCAGGAGTAAGCTCTGTCCGCTGGGTTGATGAGGATGGTGATGATCTTCGCTTTAGGCAGAAGAGCGGCAGCCCTCTGAGCAGCCACCTCAGAGTCAAAGTAGTTGGCACTCTTCTCAAAGTAGTAGTCTGAACTGGTGTTGGAGGGCAGAGGGAAGTACTCCATGTACCTAGCAAACAACGAATACAAAACGAAGGATTTGAATCAGCCACAACTTCTGATCAAGCGGGTTCTTGGTGGAAAAACAGACGACATTGTGTGATGTTATGCAGAGCCATTAGCAACAAAACAAATCACTGTTGTATTTTTTTAATGCCTTATGTTTATTCAACTTGAAAGAAATTAAAGCTAAACATAAATAAAACTTGAATAAATCCACTTCTTTTGTAGAAATGTTGGTCTAAAAAAAAAAAAAAGGTTATAGATTTGCAGACCTGCCATTCTAAGCATTTTTTTTCTTGTGCATCACAACAAATTAAAAGGTCATTATGCAGTTTGTTCATTTCTGTAATTTGACGTCAAAAAGTAAAACTCATGCTAAGAGTCATTACACAAACAGCAATATGTAAATGAAGGGTTTATTTCGGTTAGTTTTGACAATTATAGCTAGCAGCTAATGAAAACCCAAAATTCAGTTTCTCAGAAAAGCAGAATAATACATAAGAGCGACGAATAGAGGACTTTTAATACAAATAACTTCGGGGTTCACAGAGAGCTGTGTCCAACTACATGGGCTACAACCATCACAGACCTAGTGTTAAGACACTCCTGAGCAGACAGCGTCAGAAGTGTCTTATCTGGCTAAAGAGAAAAGGGACTGAACTGCTGCTCAGTGGTCCAAAATCCCCTTTATCCTTTAAATACAACTAAAGGTCCCAGAGTGTGGAGGAAGAGTGGAGAGGCACAGAATCCCAAGTTGCTTGAGCTCCAGAGTGAATTTTCTACACTAAGTGATGATTTGCAGCGTTGATGCATTTATTTCAAGTGTTGGGTGTTTATACTGCCCAGTAGCCTGCTGTTGTAATCAAGACCACATAACCCAAAGATGTAGTAGAAATGAAGACCAGAGCACACCAAGAGAAGACTGGGACTTTCTACAGACCAAAACAATATTTCGAGACAATTGCTGTAGTCATGATAATCTGCCTGTAGGAGGTTGGACAATAAATCAATAACAATACATACATACATACAGACACCTGATCAGTATTAATAGATGATACATTTGGTAGAATTTTTAATAATTTAATTCAACTCCGATCCAGAACCACAAAGGATTCTGGGGGACGTAGGGAGAGGAAAGATTTTAGCCCCTCAACTTCTCATGGCCAGCTGAGAAAGGTTCAACTAACTCAGCCGCTCTTCGGTTGCCTAGCAACAACCTGTTGAGTAACTTGCGCAGCAGCAGTTTAAGGTTTCAGCAGCGTGCCTTATAAGTGCTTAAAAAAACAAAACAAAAAAAAAACAACGGCGTGGAGTGAAAACTGTGAAAAAAAAGAGGAACGGTTGTGCCACCAGTTTGGCAGTATTTGAGATACTTAAATAAAAAAATAAAAAATTAATAAATAATGATCGATATCGACCAATACGAAGCACTTTAATCATTCATGATATTTGGCCAATAAATCAATCTGACTTCTCTGTTAAACAAGTGAAGCAGACAAACTAGACACCTGTAAAGCGAGCATAATGTTAACCAACTCGGCATTAGCTACAGGAAGTGAGTGGAGGCAGCAGGTGGGGGTCGGAGACTAAACATCTGAACACGTGTCTCACCAGTCAATGCCTCTGTGATAGTTGTGTCCATTGAAGAACTGGATCTCCTCAAACGTCTCCTTGCTGGGATAGTTGCTGGTCAAGTCAGGATGCATGCCAATAAATAGGTAAAGTGCTGTTGTTCCTGGAGGAAGGTAAGAGATAAAAAAAAAAAAAAAAAAAAAAAAAAACTTTATGGAAATGTCCTAATAAATATACTCCATCTAACAGCAACTGTTATAATCCAAAGTGTAGCAATTAAAGGATAAAAACAGAGCTATAATTCAGAGGAAGAGGTCTGCTCTGAACGGGGCAAACTCTTAGTAATATCATTTCTGACTTGGCCTGCAGAGGGCGCTGTAGAGCCGTGACTCACCTGTCTTTTGAGGCCCGATGACGAGCAGCTTTGGGAAGCGGTCACATGTTTTCTCTTTGGACCAGATGTCCTTGTGTCTTTTATCCTCACAAGGATCCTTTAGTCACACAAAAACACAGATACAGAGCCGTAAGCGGGATTAATTAGACTTCACTTTAATGCGTAGAAATCAAAAGAAAATGCAGATGACGATGACGTCCATCTGCACCCACAAAAAAACAATGTACAGGGCTTCTACATATTTCTTATACCCACATTCTTTGCTTTCCCACACTTTAGTTCTGTCTCTCTTTGTTTCATAAAACCTATATAATCAATTAACTGCAAAGATTTCCACAAAGACCTGACTTTCAGTACATCGTTCGTTGAGAATATTCAAGGAATGTGTTCCAGGCTAACAGGCGGTAGGAAAAAAAAAAAAAAAAAAAAGAAAATAAATACAGGTGGTGTAAAACCTTGACCTCACCTGCCAGAGGGGATCTCTCTCAGATGGAAACAGGCTGAAGTACTTCTGAGCCAGCTGGATAGGCGGCAGAGTCTGCATCTTCAGGTTGGTCCACGTCTTCACAAACATCACCAAGCTTTTGAAGGTGTACAGACCGAGACGGTCGTTCCCATAGTTGGACAGGTGGGTCATGAAAATACTGATCTGCGAACAGAAATGCCGAGCAGAGAGAAGTTTACTGAAACAGAAGAAAGGACGAGGAAATCTGGGAGACTGTTGGCTGCTCGTTGCCACGACACTGCCTTGACTTAAATCAACAATTAGCTTATTAAACTGTTGGGATCTTCCGTTGAAAATGCCCAAGATTTCAGGAGTTTGCTTTCTTAAAAGAGAATTTGTGCTTTTATTTATATTATAGTAAGCTTAGGCCCAGATTCAATTGCATTAAATCACGTAAAAACAAGCCCATCGATCAATAATGAATGAACAACTTTAAAGCGCTGTCCTTTCGCCAAAAGATAAAAGCAGAAGCAGTTTTGTGCAACCTACTTAGAGACGAGCCGACTCAGTAATTAGGATCAAACAATAATAAAAACCACTGCAGAAACAACCCGCGCCGTTTTCGTTTGGGCAAAGTCGCAGTAATGTGAATAAAATAGTCTGCAGTCTATGCAGAGACGGCCACAGCTGTGACCTTTTTCTGCAGTCTCAAACAAAAGTACGTGAAGAACAGGAGGCATTTGCGCCATTGTGTCCCGGCTCTATTAAAAGCGGTTTTTGTTGGGAGTGAAATGAAAAACATATCTGAGTCATTTTCCCCGCACCCTGTTTAAATTTCAATTTGCGCCGGCATCTAAATGGGCTTCAAAGTGCGCAAGACAAAGCAAACGCTCTGTGTGGGAGAGCGGCTGACTCACAGGGTTCAGCAGAACGGTGAGGAAGAGTTCCCCCCCATTGATGAGCTTGTCCAGTTCGTTCGGGCTGCCTGGGTAGTCTTTGTAGAAGATGGTGTGCGTGAAAAGACCACAAGTCTGCCGGGGCAACACCTGCGATGAGAGCACACACGGAGAGGATCAAAAAAAAAAAAAAAAAAAAAGTTGGAAGCACCGACGCAAACGCGACGCCGGCTCTCTCCGCTGAGCCGCCGCTCCTCCGGGCGGTTTACCCCCACACACATTGTTTGTTCACAATAATGTTGTTATTATTCAGCTCATCAAGCCAAAGCAAACCTCTCGTTCGCTCCGAGTCTATATGGTAATTCATGGAAATGCATGTACAGTGAGGGGTGTCTGGGGAGCCGAATATCAATCATCGGTTCCGTGGTGAGCGCTGTCCATTCGGGCTGCCATATCTCAAGGACGGGAAGGGAGTTCTGAGACCGCCCGGGCCGACCGCACACAGGCGCAACAAAGAGAGCGGACTGAGGCTTATCGGCACCGAAGGTCAACTTGGGAAGAAATGGATACGTTTTCTTCTGAACCTGCTGAATATATTCAAATCCATTTTTACCTTATTTACCAAGTTATTCGAAAACCAACAAAGCCTGATCTTTTTAGTCGGCTGTTGACATTTCACTTTTGGTCCCCAGACACTTGCTTTCTGATGTCAGTCTTCATTCCGCTGCCGAGGCCTGCCTGCCGGTGTCTCGTGCAACGCCGGTTCTTTTGACCACGTTGTCATCTCCCGCTCAGTGGAAGGAGGCAAAACCCAACAACACAGATGGATGGACTGCCTATTAATTAAGGGGAAGTCTGTTGCTTTTCGGTAAAAGAAAACACGATTCTGCCAGTCGACCTGAGATGCTTCAAGAAAACGAGGAACAAAAAGTTCGAACGGGGAGGTCTGGAACAGAAAGCAACCCAGTTGAGATGTTTTCTTATTCGCCTATTAGTGTATTAAACGATGGTTAAAACAGGAGAGCAACGAGACACAGCTGACGGAGAAAAGCAAAACACTACAGCTTTTATTTGGCTTTAAAACTTGTTGATATTGGGGACACACTGAGTAGGTGACAGTAACAGTGTGTAATATCACCATATTGCAACAAAAAGTAGATATAATAGGAGGTGCTCTTGAAAACATAGATGTTGAATAAAAGTGGCCCGAGAACAAATTCTTGCAGAACCCCACACAGGACGTTTGTTTGCTCAAAAACATAATGGTTTTTCAAAGACGGCTACTAGCGTTTAAAGTGGTCTTACGCTGATGCCGCTGTGGATGAATCCCCGCCGGAAGCGAGCGGGTTTTAGGTGAGGGTACTCCTCTGTGCTGGTCACTTTGATGCCCCAAACCTTCTTCCAGGCGTCATACAGCTGCATGTGTACAGGATAGACCCCGGAGTGGTGAGGGGCCACTGCGTAGCCCATATTCGTGGGAATCCCATGCTCCTGAGGAAGAAATTGCATGAGTAGGTGAGGGCAGGCGATGGGATACATGATGCATCTAGAGTTCCTGCACAGAGTTACATTTCCAAAGATAATGCAAAAGTTGTATTTGAATTCACTGCAGATGTTTCGATTGAGGGCAGGCTTTAAATATAAAACTGACTGAGGTATGGATAGATACCCAGACAAACCCATGGGATAAATTGGCAGATAATGATGGTTGTATAGACAGCAGGGACAGAAATAGAAGGACTGAGGATCGATGGTTAGATAACTGGCAGACAGATGGATGAATAGAGAATAGGCATAGATGAGGAACAAACTGTAGAGATACACATTTTTTTTTTTTTCAAAAACAATTTTTTCCATCCATTTCCAGACTTTTCCAGATTGTGTCCGAGTTAAAATTAGAAACTCCTATTTTTCTCTGAAGCAAACGGCAGGCATTTAATCATCAGCTGGATACGCGCCACCTAAACGTGCATGAGACGTTCAGAGAAACACGCTGAGGCGTGTAATTCAGAGAACGTCGTCTGAGCGAAGATAACCAAAACGTTTATTTGGACATCGTCGGCAAGAAAGAGAGGCAATGCAAGAAAACCGAGTATTAGCGTTTCGTTCGCTTTCATGCTGCCTTCATAACACAGAGTCGGTAATACCATCATTAGAAAGTGAGTGATGTGAGATGACACGACCCGGTCTGAAAGAAGAGTAAAGAAAAAGATTCAGCTGGGATGTGGAGTGTTTACAACATTCCCGCTTTTCACTCTAGTTGTACTTGTGTGTTGCCGTCCAAGAATGAAGGAATTTAACAGCATTCCTAAAACATTATATATATATATATATATATATACACATACAAGATAAACTTCTGTCAACTGGCTACTTTAGCAAAACACATAAAACACAGCTGCCTTGAATTCCTACTTTTAACCAAATCAGGAGCTCATTAAAGAAGAAGTGAACGAGTTTGTCGTCTTTACTAAGCAATGGGCAAGAAAATCTTCAGGAATGCATCAAAACTTTAAATGCAGCACCTTTATGACTAAAAATTACGCTATTTACTTAATATGTTCAATTTCAGTCTCGCCAGACTTTGGGGTTTTTCAGCATGAGACTCAAGAGCTTTTACAGCTAAATTTGACACCAATATATTTCATTAAACAGCCAACCAGCGTGGTAGTCGAATCTTTTATCTTCAAGTCAAGCCTGAGTAAATAGACAGTTAAAACATACAACAGGTCAGCTCAAGGTGTACAATTTGTTTGCATTGAAAGATAAATGCTTCATTGCTTCCCAGCAACAGTTTCATAAATGCTGTATTCCTAACACAGAGCTTCAAGTGATACAACAGATGAGTCCCAAAATTAAAACAATGCCAGTAAAGAAAAAAAAAAAACTATGCAGATTTAAGAATTATCTAAATATAATTTAACATTGAGTGTTAGGAATATTGTGACATTTAAGGCTTTGGGGGGCTACGGCTTTATATTTAACGCTCACACCCACGTCTCCTTCTTTCCTTTTTCATGTTTGAAAGCCATCACAGAGAAGCAGTAAAGCGAATCGCAGGTTGAAGCTGCTGTGTGCGCAGACAGAATTAATTCAGGACAAATGAACTTGGAAGTTTGTTCTGGGATTTTCTTTCTTTCTTTCTTTCTTTTTTCTGCTGGGGATTAACAAGACAAGAAACGGCATTTCTGAGTTTTAATCAGATAAATCCCCAGTTGTTTAATAAAGTAGCCGACAATAAAGTGTGGAAACACGACTTTAAAATGACGACTTGAGGCTTACAGAGAAAATACATGCATGTTTAATTGTTTAAAGGTTATTTGACTGCATAGGGAGAAAACTTTAAATCGCTGAACCCACTGGCTTTTTCCAGACCTCAACTCAAAGATGCGAGTGACGATGAGAACAAGGAGGAAAGGACCATGTGCCCGGCTCCCGTGGCTGTAAAACAAACCCAAATCATCAACCCTCCACCGCCAAGCTGGACAGACGGCTGGATGCTTTCTTGCTGAAGAGCTGTGTTCAGTTCTCTAGCCTTTTCATGCTCCTGTTTATATCTCGAAGTCGTGTGGTTTATTCAGATGTAGCTTCATAAACACAAGTCGTGCGGTCATTTTGCTTTGAGATACAAGAGACTTTTTCTCCTGGCAACACTCAAGCCAACAAGCCGAACTGGTTTGGTCTTTTGCCAACGCCCCGGTGAAGAACTGCAACGTTTAACTCGTTGACTGAGGCCTGCTGAGTCTGTGGAGGTGCTCCTCCTGTGTGTGTTGCAGTTTTTCTGAGCATTGCACAGCGTCACCTTTGGGTGATTTTGCCAAGACTTCCGAACCTACGGTGATTAGCATAAAGCTACCTTGAATGTTTTTCATTTATGAATAATGTTTCTACTGGAAATACTGACTTGAAATTGTTTTGGAAACGGTGTTTCTGTCATTTTCCAGTCAATAGGCAACAAGTGTTTCTCAATATGGAAAATGCAAGAGAATATGAGCAGTGGAATTGCCTCGGAAACTTTATGGAACGTCAAGTTGCGGGTGTTAAATCTACCATTATTATTATTATTATTATTATTATTATTACTATTATTAGGGCTGGACTCTTCAAAGAAAAAAAAAGTGTGAATCTTTAGTAGGTGAGAAGCTCATAAAGGTGGAAAATTTTTTATAATGAGAAAGAAATAAGTGTCTGATAAAAACTGAATTTCAGTTTAATACTTTTCCTTTGTGCAGTCTTAGTTATTTTCCAACAAAAAATTTCCTTTCTCAAGGTCAATGACTCGGCTTAAAGTCACGGTTAGTACATTTCGACGTTATGCGGGGCAAACGTTCATGCTTTGCAGCAACACACAGCCAAACCTCCTGGTTGTAAAGAGACGGCCACAAGCTACCGATGTTAACCAAATCATCCACATCTGATTAGCAGCACCGGGCAGCTACTTTTCCCCTTTAAGTCCAATGAAAGCAGCAACATTGTGCTCAGTTTTCACACACCACTTTTTCCAATTTCTCTTCATTTCAGGTTAATAAATAACGACAGTGTGGAATCTGGTGTGTATTTTTGCAGCAATGAGGTTAAACTTGAATACATTCAGACCTTGGAAAAAAAATCTGAGCGCATAAAGCTCTGCAAATAAAAGAGGGTGTAGTATTTCTTTATTACCATGGAGGCATGGGTGTCAAAAAAAAAAAAAAAAAAAAAAAAAAAACATTTTATTTTTAAATGATGTTTTTTTTTTTTAAAATTGAGTT